CGTGGTCGTGGTCTTGCAGTGAAGGTGTATCGTCTCGGTCACGGGGAGCGAGAAGGGAAGCACGGGCGAGTCGATGCACCTCTTCGTTGCCGGGTATTCCTGCGTGTGCTGGAACCCAGGCTATTCTCGTAGTCATGCCTCTTGCTAGTAGCAGTGAGGCGAGTTTCTTGATATTACGCACTTCTACGCTAGGGCTTCTTGATTTTCTGCATTCTTTTACCACTTCCTGAGAAACCGTAAATATCCGGAGATACTCTGGTGGTGGTTCAGGTAATGCAAGGGCCGTCTCGAGGGCAAGGCGGACTGCTGCAAGTTCTCCCCCTTTCACCGAGGTGCGGGCTGGAAGGTTCTTGGTTGCGCTTGTGCATAGTGTTGGAATGATAACAGCCGCGGTCTTTAGAGTGACGGGGCCGTCTATCGAAGCAGTGTCCGTGTATGCAGCCACGATCCCGTTCGTTCCTTCTTCCCACGCCTCCGTCATCTTGATGTGTGCCCTAGCGAGGCGGTCTGGTTGCTTTTTGTCGCCCTTCCGCGTGCTTGGTTTGTTGTCTGTGATTTCTGCATGATCTTCCCATGGCGGGAGTTCCTGTGGTAGCTTGGGTAGGTCTCCGGTACATCTCAATAGGAGTTCCAGGATCCTTCTCCCTTGTCGTGTGTGCTTAAGTCTCTCCCCGTGTGCGACCGTGCGGGCAACAACGGTTTCGTGTAGGGAGTTAATCTGAGCGTGTTCGTTCAGCTTGCCCAGGGGGCAGAACTTGTGCAGGCCCGTGATTATTCTTTTTGCTTGGTTGTTCAGAGCTTCGAGCTTCTGCCATTGCGCCTTGGTCAGCCAGTAGTGCCGAGCCCCGTAGCAGACACGCGAAACTACTAAAGCTTTGACCATTCTTCTGGCAATTTCTTCTGACGCTCCACCCCTTGCGCTACAGATGCGCCGAATGGCATTAAGGGCAGAGTTGCAATGTTTTAGTGTGTCCTGGAGCCAGATGTCTGCCTTGCCGGTCTCCTCAATAGTGATACCTAATATCTTGACAGACGTGGATGGCTCGATTCGCTTGCCTGCAAGAACGAGGTTTAGCTGTTCTGCAATCTTGGCGAGACGGTGTCTTTTCGGTGCGATTACGGTGTAGTTGGTTTTCTCCGGAGAGGCTTGCATTTTCACCCTGCGTAGGTGGGCTTTGATTGTATCTAGGCCCGCTTGTAGAGTGTCTTGCTGTCTCGCAATGTCGTCGTTCTTGGTCCATATCAAGACGTCGTCCGCGTACACGGTGAAGCCCAAGTTGGGGATCTTTGCAAGTTCGTGAGGCAGGGCTGCCATCGCGATATTAAAGAGCGTTGGTGACAGCACGGAGCCTTGTGGGACTCCTACTCGGTTCACTCTCGGTTCGCTGTCGTGCGAGCCGCAGCGTACCGAGAACATTCTCCCTTCAAGGAAGTTCTTGACAAAGTTCAGCGGCCTTCCGACTATGCCGAGTCTTCGGGCTTCGTTGATGACGGATGCGTGTGGAACCGAGTCAAAAGCTTTCTTGACATCAACCGCCACAATTGTTCTGATGGTTGCGCGGTTGGGGTTGATGTTTCGTATTACGTCAGCCGATATGAGGGCGAGGCTTTCTTGCGTTCCGAGACACGGTCGAAACCCTGTCTGGGCGGGGTGGAAGGCGTCCGTAGATTCCAGATGCCATACGATTGTTGCAAGTACCATTCGTTCCATCAACTTGCATGTGCATGACGTTAGAGAGATTGGCCTGTAGCTGGAGAGTGCACCTTTGTCTTTGCCCGGCTTGGGAATTGGAGTGACGAGGGAGTGCTTCCACTGCTGGGGAAGTTTGCCAGTTTCCCAGATCTGGTTGATCATGTCTAGGAGTTGCTCTTTCGTGTTGTCTGGGAGGTTTCGTAGCAAAGCCATAGTGATTTTGTCTGATCCTGGTGCCGTGTGCAACTTCCCTTGATTCAAGGCACACTCGAGTTCTCCGCGCGTAAAGAGACGGTCCATCTCGTGATCGGGAGCCAGAATTTCTTGATAGTAAGGGGAGGCGCAGCCGGTTAGGTCAGGTTGAGGAAAGAAGAGATCTCCCGACATTCTGGCCAACTGTTCCTCAGACGTGTTCAGTTTGAGAACTAGTGTCTGCGTCGCTCCTTTAGTCTTCCTTTTTCCGAGCAAGGCTCGACTCGTAGCACAGAGCTTCGTGATCGAGGTCTTGTCGGAAAGTGAAGCGCTGTAATCTAGCCAGCGGCGTGAGTCTAGTTTTTGGGCGTACACCTTTGCTTCCACCGTCGCTCTAGTAATAGCTTGCCTGCCTAGTGGGGTTTTGTACCCCTTTCGGTACTTCTGCACCGCTTGCAGTCGCTTGGCCCAGAGGTTGAGAAGGAAAATATCAGGGTTAGGAGCGTCTTCTTCGACTTTTGTCTTGATTGTGGCTGCCTGCAGGGCGCTGTTGAGAAGGCTCTCGAAGCTGGACTCTTCTTATTTGTCTTCCCTAAGGACGTCCCTGAACCTGTCGCAGTAAACGGTCTTGGCCACTCGTTTCTTTGTCATGTTCTTTACCTTCTTTGTGGGCGGGAACTCAAAGAGGATAGGGAAGTGATTGCTACCCCATGGGTCTATGAGACACTTCCATTTTTGATGCTGTGTGTACTGATTTGTCGTTCATGATAGATCTGGTGTCGTGTCCTTCTGTCCGGCTCCTCCCAGTCTTGTCTTGGTTCCTTTCTTGTTTGCCAATTGCAAACGAAATGTTTGCATCTCACCTATTAGATCTTCCGCTCCGTTCGAAGACTGTGCGTAGCCCCACGTTTGGTGTTGGAGGTTGAAGTCTCCGCCGTAGTGCTTCTGCTCTCGGGGGTATACATCGTGCAGGTGAGCGATCCATCCGTGGTTTCTTGTACGCGTCTTGTCTCTAAGCGGTCTGTAGTAGATGGACACAAAAATGTGGTTCGTCTGCTGAACCGTTGCGCGAACTCCAACCACTTCTTGTTGTTCATCACAGTATGGAGTAAGGTCGACCTGGTGTTGATACCAGTCGCTCCTAGCGTAGACAATAGCTTTTCCCGGTGGGGAAGCCGAGTAACCTGGGCGCTTGGATGTGATTGATGGGCTGGAGTAGGCTGTGTAGCCGCTAAAGTTGATGCTTGACGTGTTAGTTTCCTGAAGTAGCATTACGTCAGGACGTTCATCGGGCTTGTCCAGGAGTCGTATCCGAAGCTCCGCCGCCCGTTTGCGAAGCCCCTGACAGTTCCACTGGAGTACCTTAATCATTTTTCCATCAAGAATTGGGCTGCGAGTGCCCGTTGATGATTGGCGTATTCTTTATACTTATTGTTTTCCTCCTGTTGAGACTGGACGATGGTGTTGAGTCTGTTTAGCTCTGCCTTGAGGAAGTTGCACGTGTTGCGCAATTCTTGTGCTTCTGCCGTTGGCGATGGTAACGGTGGTGGCGAGAGACCCTGCTTGACCTTCTTGGCCCACAGGTTCTCACTGGGCAGTACCGGGGTCTTGACTGGTCTATTTCCTAACTCCTGTTGTTGCTGTTGCAGCTTGTGCTGTTCTCTGAAACTCTTGATGTCTTTCCGCATCCTTTTGTTGGTTTCCTGCCATGTGGGGCATTTGCGGCCGGTTCCGAGGTGGCCCTTCTTTTTACATTTCTGGCAGTAGGGTGTAGTGTCGGTACATCCAGGTCCCTGGGTCGGGTCCGTTGGTCTTGGATGGTCGGTTCCGCATAAAGGGCACACTGCCGTATTCGGGCATATATCGAACTTGTGTCCTAGACGGTGGTTACCGTCTAGGACAGGTTACTGCTTTCGGTTTGAACGGGAATACCCGCATGTACCTCTTGCCGTAAAGAACAGATCGAGGCGTTTTCTCTCCATCGAACGTGAGGACCGCCGTGTTTGACTTGCCAAGTCTTCGAGCGGCTACCACGTGAGGCTTTTCTGACTCAATTTCCGAATTGAGGACGTCGTCTTGCGGTTCCTCTTCCTTGGGATATATGTCATAAATGACACCCTTGCTGTGTGTATTCCCATAAGTCCTGAAGACTTGCATGGGTATCTTGCCTTTCCCTTCAGTGCCGATCTCTGTGATCTTCTCAAGAGTCTCGGCTAACTCTTTCGAATCTGTGCGGACCAAAATCGTGTTAGCCTTTTCTATGAGATGCATTGTGAAAGCCATGGAGATGTGAGTGCCCGTGAGGTGCATTTTGAGTAGTGGAAGTAGGGGCTTGATCGAGATTTGTGAACGCGTCAAACGGATCTTATACTCGTACTGCCAGCGCCGGGTTGACTTGGCTTCCTCGGAAGTTTGCTGTGTCGGGTCCCCTCGGACCTGTTTCCTTTTCTTCTTATACGTCACCTGGGTTCAACCAACCGTGTTCACAGGTTCCTCTCGTGTAGCAGGTGGCATCTCGCTGACCGCGTTCAGTGGTGGTGAGAGTGTCCCCGCAGGTATTGAACTGGCGCGCTTGTTCTCCACTGCATGCGGCGTTGTGTCTGGTATGGGCGTGGTGCCGGCTGCGGCCGGCGCTTCTTGCGTTTGTTTTGTACCTGGAGGGTTTATCGGAGCTTTCTTTGAAGCCGATTTCTTCTTCTTCGCTTTGGTTGGCACAATTTCATGGGTTTCTCCAAATATGTCCTTGAATATGTCTAAAAGGTTCTCCCCTCGGGATACTCGCGAGGAGGGACCTTACAGCTTGTTCAACTGAAAAAGCCGTGTTTGGAATCGTGGAGGGCTCACCGAAGCATACAACGGCGGGGCACTCCATTGATGGCTTTTTCAGTGTCGGAGTGGCAAGACTTGCCGGTCCCGTCTCGATAGGGCAAGGCCTCCACACGCGTCATCATAGTCAGATCGATCGAGGCGAGAGATTGGGCACGAGTGCTGAGTCAGTGTTCGGCTGCGGCTCGTGGCAAATCAGCGCGTCGAAGGTCGGGCTCGGGTCCAATAGTCGACCGAGCGCGATCCGACTGTGATGGCGTTTCATAGAAGAAGAGGAAACCATGCGGAGGCCTTCTGTCTAGGTGGTGTTGGATAGGGGCGGTTTCGGCGTTGCTCGCAATCTTCGTGTCCGTGGCTTCGGGCTGACCACTTACATCGGTGGCTGGAACGTTGCTCGAAGTAGTGGGCCTTTCTTCTGGTCCTCCTGGTGAGAAAACCCCTCCAGGAAGGCCGAATAATGAGCCCGAAGTTGGCAGCTCGGTGCTGGTCATTTTGTTCGGGGAGCTCAGAAAATCGCGTCCGATCTCGTCGGTAGCTTCTTCTTTCTCCCTACGGCGACATTTTGTTTCCTGCGATTTCTTTGTATTCTCCCCGTGAGCGCGTGCTGACGGCATCGGGTACTACAAACGATGGCATCACCCTAAACAGGACGACATCGAGGCACTCTAGCGCCACCAACATTGACAGCGATGCACATGAGGTATGAAATTGAGTATGCCTTGAGTGCCTTGACTGGCGCTCCCGCTGCACGAGCGCACGCGCAACTGCCGAGGGCTTCATTCAGAGCAATTAGCTCGCGCTTTAGCCCGTGCGTCCACCTATACTTCGTCTCACGTTAGTATGGACTATTGTTAGCCGCGCGTGCTAAAAGCGCGAGATAGTTGCTTCGAATGAAGCCTCGGCGGCTGCACGAGCGCTCGTGCAGCGAGTGCTCCAGTCAAGGCAGTCAAGGCTAGCCGCTCGCGCTAGCACAGCATTCGCGGTTAGTCCACGCTAAGGTGAGACAAAACTAGTATATAGCCAAAAGCAAGCAAAATACGGTGTCAGTAAAACGACTCACCTTTCTAACAACAGAAGAATGACGAGAAGCCTGCACGAGCCACTCAGGCGCAGCCCGACAGCCCAAACGACCTTTCGCGCGACCTGACCGGAAAGCCACCGTCCGCCGAGTCGACGACCTCAAAGACATCCACTGAGCCGCAGCCAAAGCCGCAGCTGTTTAAATTGTTTTTAAACGAGTTTGAGCGCGCTATTAATTTTCAGATGTTAGGTTATAGAGTAGAGTTATTTATCAAGGGTGAAAATATGATAAATGTCTAAATTAAGTGTGTGACTGCAGTGCCACTGGACGGTCGTCATAGTCCCTAGCTCCTGGGCTGCGAATCGGCTGGAGTTGCCACTCTTTTCGTTTACACTCTATGGTGGTACGCCGCAGATAAAAGAAGGGACCGAAGAACGGCGTGCGTGCTTTCGCATTCACAACTCGTAAGAAGTGCTTAGGTGTAACTCAAGCCTTTTCACAGGCCCAGCCGCTTGGGTGGCTTGCGCGTCCGTGTTGAACTTCTGAGAACAGGAGGGACGCCTTCCCTGCCTTGGTCACGTGTGCCATTAAGTGGTGTGACAGGCGATCTTCGAGTGCCTGCCTCCGGTGTTGCAGGATCGTTCTGTCTTGGATCGTGGTCGGAAAGTCGTCACTGAAAATCGGAGACTGTGAACCGTTTCGCTGACTGATGCCGCGGGAAGGGGCGAACTTTCTCCATGTTTTTGCGAGCGTGAAGCTATCGTCTTGATTTATAGATATTCCCCTTCCTCCTTGGGCACATGTCTCAGCTGTTCAATGGCTCGTTTCCATGTATTTCCACCGTTCGTGCGAATCGCATGTTTGATTTCCTAGAACTCGGACGACGACGCCTTTCGACCATTTGCCGTTCATGTAGTCTCTTGCTCATACCTGGTCGTTCCGATGTAGGTGTCATTCTTTAGAGGCGCGAAGCGTGCTGCTTCACCAGTTTTGATCACACGACATCAGTTACTGGTGGTCTGAGAAGATCAAACCTAGTGCGAAATTTGTTTCGTCATTATTTTGGCAGGAGTTGAGACACGGCAGGCCGTCCCTAATGCAAAAATACACCAGTCAATCCTTGTGTGACACCAGACAATCCCGTCGTGACGCCAGAAGATCTGGTGTACCCAACAGCAATGCTGGTGTATCGAGCACAACAGCCTGTTGTGCCCACCAGAAATGCTGCTGTACCCGCACACCGGGCACACCAAGACAGTCTGGTGTCACACCACACGGGCTCATGTGCCCACCAGGCAACCTGGTGTGCAGACTACGCAGTTTGATATGACACCAGTGTTGTATTTTTGTTGACTTCTCCCCCCCTCGCAAGCGTGTCTTTGATTAGTTTGTGTGACGCCCCTTCCCCCGACGTGGTGCCTCGTTTCCTCCCGTCTCGGTGGTCGCCGGAGACCCCGCGGCGGGCTCCTTTGTGCTCAAGAGGTGTCTCCCTCGTCCCCAGCACTTTCCCGGACGGCCTTGAGCTGCTTTAGGCCCTCGCATCTTTCAGGGTTTCCCTTTCCTTTTACTCCAGTATTCTTGTTGAAGTTTGAGAAAATAAAGGAGTTTTCTCTGTAGTCGAAGCCGAAAAGATGTGCGTTGGTGCGCTTTCCTGACTTCCGACGAGCTTGGTCTGGTAGCAAAACAACAAAAAACTAGTATATATTACAGTTTTTGGTGCCGAAACCCGGGAATTAACGGCCGGATCATGCCTACTACGAGTCAGGAAGGTGCCGACCGCCTGAAGCGAAAGAAGACTACTCTGCGAGCCGCCGCAAGAAAGACCATCAACGAAATTGGCGTCCTGCTGGCCACGGATCTAACCGACATCGGTGAGCTCGAAGAAAGATTTCATATTCTTCTACTAAAGGAGGCTTCCCTGAAAGAGCTGGAAAAGGAAATCGAGTTATCTGTCGAATATGATGCCTCAGAAGAGGAGATAACTGGCGCAGAGGGGTACGCAGAACGAATTAGAGTAACTAAGACATGAGTCAACCACAAGCTGACAGGCCAAGAATTGCGGAATGACAGGGTGTCCGGTTCTACGACGCAGGGCAGTGGCTCCGGACAAGCTCCAGTTGATCACGGCCAACTCCCTACAACAGTGAAGCTTCCAAATCTTGACTTTTTTTTTGCTTTTTTGAGTAAAGTAATTACGACAGCAGCGTTGTTGCCAAACTTATCATTGTACCCTTTTTTGTAAGTAAAGCAACACTCAGCCAACAGGTGCTCTGGTATCACAACACAACAAAACCTGATGTAGCACCATAACACCAGATTGCTGGTGTCACACCAGAACACGATATTGCTGGTGTCACAAAAGCACACCAGATTTCTGGTGTGAAAATGTCCCAAATCACATCTGTAAAAAAGTCTGGTGTCACATCAAGTCACACCAGGCCTCGGCTTGGTGTATATTTCGCTAGGGGTGTGTCTGACGCAGCGTTTAGATGCATGAGCATGTCATTATAGTTTGAAGGCAAGCTGCTTGTCAAAATATGTCCCATTAGCCTAGACCCCCTTCCCCCCCCCCTCCCCCCTCACTGAAGTGACCGACACAGAGAGCCCTGCCACCGGTTAGGTAACGTCAACATCGGGCGATTTCTTGGTTCATGATATGACAACTAAATTTTACACATTCTTAGTTCTTTTTCCGATATGAACATTCCCTAATTTCTTTTGACGGTTTTATAAATCTGAAGCAGCTCTACACCGTTCTCGGTTCCCATATCTGCAGTCATTCAACATTTCAATTATTTCAACACAAAGGTTGGGGTTCCCTGGTGAAACAAACTGTAACAGACAGCTTGAGTGTGCCTTGGTTCAAGAAAATGTGATGGCAAAAAGAAGCTGTATGCATAGAAATCACCCGAGTGCAACATTGTAGATGCCGGATAGGGATTTACTTTAAAGGGATACTGAACCTAGGAATTTAGTGTCCATAATAAGTGGCGCACGATCTTTCCACGAGCCAGCAGCCGCCGGTGTGCGCGAGCACACGCAACGAAAATGACGTCAAAGACCTCCATTCGCGCTTAAGAGGACAGTGAAATGTATGGGCTTCGGGCCAAAGGAGAATAAAGACAAGTTTTTTATCTACACAGTGGTGTCTGGTGTAAAAGTTAAGTGATTAATTGGTCTAACAAGCACGTAGCTTTCACTTGCAAAGATGAAAAGTTTGTCTTCATTCTCCTTTGGCCCGAAGCCCGTGCATTTCACTGTCCCCTTAAGCGCGAAAGGAGGTCTTTGACGTCATTTTCGTTGCGTGTGCTCGCACACACAAGCGGCTGCTGGCTCGTGGAAAGAACGTGCGCCACTTATTATGGACACTATATTCTTTGGTTCAGTGGCTGGAAACACCAAATGTACAAAGCGCATCTGTTCTGGTGCCTGGCATTCAACTTCAACCAAACTTGTTGGAGGTCACTACAGCGGCGCTTTTTAATTTTAGTTGACAAATTTCACAGAAGACAAACGTCAGACTTCAGTTGAACGGGCCTGTCACTGATCTCATACCTTGAGTACGTCATAACATAAGAAAATGTCCATAAAACAAAATAGTTTATTTCCAAAGGCCAACATTGTGAAATGCTATTTATGAGTACTTTCGAGAGTACACTATCAAAATATTTCTTGAGTACTTCATTTCTTCAAAGAAAACAGCCGAAGACAGTATCACTTCTTTTTATATTCTCTGCGTTATTATAAAAGGCTCTTGCAGTCTCCGAATGTCACAAAAAGTTGGTGTCCGCGAAAATAAAACAGTGAGCAGTGAACTTCTTGTTAATAAGGTTTGGAATAAGGTTGTAGATCTGCATTTTCACAATTCATCCACGCATTTGTCCTTCCATTCGTGTATTTTTGAAAAAAAAAGGAAAAAAAATAGTGCCAGTGGGTACGCGATGGTAATCCACCTGTGCATCAGTTCAGGCGTTTTGCCGTTGAATCTGGCCAGAATGAACAACAAACATGACAAGTCGCGTCGTAAGGTGTTACAGAAGTTCGCAATTTCGGCTCGAAACCGCTTTGTAGTTCTCAAAGTGGCTCAGCAGCACTGTTTCATAAGTTGTGTGCTACAACGGACACATTTGTATCACAAAATTAAGCGAAAATTACATGAAACTCTAACACACCTGCGAGCACGCTGAAACCGAAACAAACCAAATTGAAGCCACACAGTGGCGGCAAGTGTGTAAGCGACCTCCACCCGCCGGCGAGGACACTATTCAGATAAAAAAGAAAACCGCCACATTTGGAATGCCTAGGAGCATTAGAAGAGACGACTTCCATAAATCCGTCACTGCGCGCGTCGCATTCTGGGAACCCGCGGGCGAGGAGCGGAGCGCGTATGGAGCTTGCTTCCCACTGATTCCCCAATGCATCACGTGGCATTACAAGGCGATGCTGCGCTTCGAGTTTTGAAAAAAGTCTATTCCAAATGTACGTACCCGAAATTATAGCGTGCAAACGACTTTTCGCAAAAAAAAAAAAGGCAGCAAGGAGGAACTTGTCAGCAAGGAAGATAATATCGTTTTTTTTCTTGCTGACAAGTTCGTTTCCCTAGAATACATGCCACAGGCGCCCATAATGTCGTTTCCCCTTTCGACAAAATTAGGGTTAAGTGGACGTCGGCTTACAGACCATTTTGTTTCTCTCTCTATCTCTCTCTCTTTCTCATATTTTGATCCAGGTAACGTCATGTTCCCAAACTTTCATATTCAATCCCCACCGATAGCATCACATTTTGATGGAGGTTCAGCTTTTTGAAAGGCGTGGTTTAGTTTTGTGGCCCGAAACACTAGGTTTTATTATCTAGATCTAACCGTTACTTTTCTCTAAGTTAGCTAGTTTCTCTATGCAAAAGGAAACTGCATAACCGTTCATACATTTCGTTAAAATCATTATTTATAGCGCTTATCCCGCTCGTCGCTAGCCTGTCCTGCGGCGTTCTCCGGGTTTTTGCGTTCAGCACGCCACCTGGGAGCGAGCCTGCAAACCAGTGCGCCGACGACAAACAAACCGTTTTCTCACTCTAGCTAAAAAAAAAAAATCACCTCATGTGAGTTGAGCTTAGAAAGAAATAGACTTAAAACATTTTCTCGAAACGACGTTCGCGCTTCCAATTTCAGGTATGTACGTTTGGAATTCAAATTTTGCAAGGCGTGCCAAATGTGCTGGTTCCCGCGCCCCCGTATATTCCGCCTGTGAGATCCGTACATCGGGGTAAAACTTCGGCGTGCTCATCCCGTGGAACGCGAGGTCCGTGGTCGCCAGGGTCACTTGGAGACAGCCTCCTCGATGCTCTCCGCTAACCGAGCCATCTCGTCCACGCCCTGGCACTGCCGCTGCAAGACGCCCGGGATGACCGAGATTCCGTGTCTGGCGCCAGAAATGTTGCCCGCCATCGCCGCTATCGTGTCCGAGTCACCGCCACAGGCAATGGCGAAGTACAGGCACCTCACGTACGGACTCTCGTGCTGCAAGGAAGGGAGACACTCGTGGAGTTACACTGCGCCCGTGTAATCCATTCACCCTTGTCAGCGCGATATTACGAAATGTTCCACAAACAGAGCAACCCGAACACTTTCTTTGTCGTTTGGATAGCCCCGTTAAAGGGACGCGCGCTTCAATCCTGTTTAGGCGTCTACCTTTTTTTCGGTCTCCACATCTCCTGTGGTTCGAAGACCCAGTGGGCACGGAGAGAGTAACTAAATATCACTGCGTCATATTTTAACCGGACGACGCGAAAGCCTCCTCCACCTACGAGGGCGCCCCGTGGTACCGAACGCGTGCGGCATGTGACGACATCGTGATGTTGTTGTTCTTGGCCAGCTCCTGCCTTACGACTGGTCAGAGCCGCTAAAAGCATTTTTTCAGTCGAAATACAAAATACAAGTGGCGCGAACCGTTTCAATTATTTGGGAAAGTAGTTTTTGTTCAGTATTTTAGATCAGTAAAGAAACGAATGCAGTTTAGAAAATACGGAAACAAGAAATGATCTATCGACATACCCGCCAACAAGCGGAGGAAAAGGCGGCGCATACTAGAAAGGGGTAGTGGGATCAGGCACTGACGAACGGCGAGCGTAGAAAGGTCCCGGAAGTACGCGGCGGCGCTGCGATCTAATGGGCTGGAGGATCCGACCGGTTCCGAGCGTTCCGAAGGCTCTCGGCGAGCAGGTTTGGCTTGCGGTATGGCTGTTTGGCGGTATGGCAACGCGATGTGGCTCCCGTTCTGAACCGATCTTTACCCCGTGTTTGCTGTAGTTTGTGGCCAATGAAGTGTCATGCCGAATTAGTATTTAGTCGCGCAGCAAATGCAATGCGAGCCGCCCTGGCCGCCCGCTTCATACAGCCTAGCCAGCACATGCATTAGTGGCGCCCTCTCGAGCCGTCGACACGGAGTGCGGCAGCCGTGAGCGCTAGCTGAGGTCACTACCCCTCCCCTAGTTCACGGCCACTCAAGCCAAGACCATTGGACGTCATGAAGGGGGTTATTTCTTACTTGTTTTTTGTAATTTTAATTTGCCTATAACTATTAAAATAAAGCGAAATTTGAGAAAAGAAAAGTATAATTTAAGTTACCACGTTCAGTACGCTCAGGTTCGGTGCAAATTAAAAACCAGTCAAAATGTCGTTGCAGGTCCCCTTTAAGAGGATATCGCAACTCCCTGTGTATTTCCAAAGGAAACGTTTTAGTACGACTGCTCAGCAACCACCGGTCGAATTGACTTCGGGATGGATTATTTCAAAAGATAATAATTTTAAAAAAAATGCAACGGGGTCGCACATTTTCCGGTTTTGGAACTTTTCAACCTGCCATTTATGAGCACCTCTGAAGATAACAGAGGCACTAATACATTTTCTGACACCACGTTGCGTAAAGTAATTTCTTTCTTAACATATCTCTAACAAGATCTTCGTTCCACGTATTTTAACAGGGAAATAGGAGGATCAAGTTTGCACTCCGGTAAAGCCTCAACATTGCCTTCCACCATGGATTTTATTTATCCTGTGGTGCCATCTGTGAGCAATCTTTCATAGTTACTCACAATCGAGGTAATCTTAGTGCGCAGTGAAGGACTACTTGCATGAGTCCGTTTCTTTCAGTCGTGCTCAAGGTTTCGGGGTGCGCGCTTCCCAGATTGTCCGTTTTCGTGTTTGTGTGTGTCTTCGGTTCGGGATGTGGGCAGCGCTGAAAGTAAATCACGCAGTCGTCGTTTTCGCAAGCGCCGTGTGGCACTTGGGAAAGAAAGCAAGATTTCTCAGCGCAAATGCTCGGTCACCGTGTTTATTGTTTTGACTAATTCTGCCTGCGCAGAGTGGCACTAAGTTGGTCGAACGAAGTTTTAGCGAATGGTCGGCCGCCGCGAAGCGGCGTTTACGGGTGGGCCACGTGGGTTAACATTCTTGTAATGAGCCGCCGCAGACAGTCGCCGCGAAAAGGGGGGGGGGGGGGGGGGGGGTTGTTTTATTCGCTCGTGTGATATGAACCCAAAACAGCCTCCGAGGTAGAAAAGAGTAAGAGAAATACAGCTATGATTGAAAATTACGGCAGACAAAGCACAAAGCAGAAGAAAAAAAAAAAAAAAAAAGTTTACGATGTTTTGTAATGCCGAATTAGAGGGCAGCTCTTGAAGCGGAGAAGGGGAGGGTATGCCCCTTTTCCCCCTCCGTACCCTCCCCTCCTCCTTCCCTGTATTCCTCCCGTTTAGCGGGAACTTTTCGCTAAAGTTCCCGCTAAATTTAGCGAAAATTTCCAAGCTGAATGTAGCAGGGAAATATTCCCGTTAAATTTAGCGAAAATTTTCCCGATAAATTTATCGGCAAATTTAGCGAAAATTTTCCCGATAAATTTATCGGTAAATTTAGCGAAAATTTCCCCGCTAAATATAGCGGGGAAACTAAGTTGGTGTTAGGTCAAGTGACGTCAATTTCCCCGCTAAATTTAACGGGGAAACCATAATGCAACGCGCACGGATACGCCGACGGCGACGGCGACGCCGCTCAACCCGGAAACAAAAGCCTAAAAACTGCGCTCTAAAAAAAAACAAAAAAAGTCGACGAGCCAAGCATGTATACACTTGCGTGCGAAATGCCCCTCAAAACTCCATCAGCTCGACTCTACGCCACTGATCAGTAGACCCTATCCGAGAAGGAGCACGCGATCCCAACGGAGTCGCTCCGCCTGCGGGTCCCCTGTGGAACATGACCCCTACTCCGGAACCGGCCGATGCCTTCCCGTCATTCACCTTCCCGGGAATCCACTTCCCGCGGTTCCGGATCTCGAAGCACATGCTTTCGTAATCGCGTCGCTAACCACACGTGTTCAACGCACGAGCGAAGTTAATTATGATGTGAAAGATGCGTGTCAATAAGCGATGTGCCTCAGCGTATACCCCACTTGTCTCTTCATCGGAATACTCGTGAACGGTGTCCACGTACGTATCGATATTCGGCCTCTTCAGCTGAGGTCCGAGAAGGCAGTCGAATTCATGCGGGACATATACAGGCAATCCTCGTCGTCGCTCCTACTCGAGCCACATCTGCTGGAGGAGCAGCTCGAGCAACTTGACGACGAACTGTCATCAAAGCAGCGGCAGCAGAAAAGCAGGTGGCACTTCGCGAGCGGCCATTACGAATTCTTCCGAAATGAGATGCCCGACGAGCAAAGAAGTCACGAGTGCGCGCCTAGGGCTGGCTAAGCTGGCTTCCGGTCAAATCCGCCGAAATCGGCAGAGCGATTTTCTCGGATCCGGATCGAAACCTGGAGTGGGAACTGGGCTTTAAATATTTTACAGCGAAACCTTAAACATGTAAGCAAAGAGCTTAAGGAGGCAGCGTATAAAGCGTATGTTAGACCGATATTAGAGTATGCTTGTCATGTGTGGGATCCGTCTTACCAGGTTCGTATCAGTGCTATAGAACGTATTCAACCTGTTGCTGCTCGGTTTGTCTTGGGAAGATACGATCTTTCAGTAGCACAACTGAAATGAAAAAGGAACTGGGATGGGTGCATTTAAATGAACGTCGTAAAAGGCTGCGTCTCAAATTATTTTACTCGATTTATCACAACCAAACAGGAATTTGTGCTGCAAAGCTTCTGCATTCCCCATCTTACCGTTCTGCTCGTACAGACCATTGTTATAAGGTTCAGCCGTACTTCTCCAGGACAAACATTATGAAACACTCTTTTTTTGCACGAACCATTGCGGAATGGAATTTATTACCGGCGGAAGTGGTGTGCCGCGAAACTGTGGATCTCTTTTTTTAATGCATTGTGCTCCCCTGCAATAATGCCTGTATAGGCGCTGCGGGTTTTTCATGAATAAAGAAAAAAAATAAAGATCGACTCGGTGGCCAAAGATGCCGTCTTTTTCTGTTATAATAAGCGAAACTCAATTGTCGGGCGCCCGAAGTTGGTTGCACGGCTTTATCTTCACACGTTGCTCACCTCAAAGTCCGCTAGGGGTCTCTGAGATCTCAGGAAGCTGTAGATGGCCGTAGGCACAGAACCCTGCGCTGTGATGTCGTTGCCCAACATCCTGGCTACTTCTGCAGGGGTCGGGTCTTGGGCAGGGTCAGACACTATCTTCTTGATGAGCATCAGCTTAAAGCAGAGTGGCCTAAGCAAAAAACAAACGGTTGCTTTGACATTGTTGCATAAAACCCGCCTCCCTTCGGGGCCGACTAAAAAAAGAACCGAAAAAAAAAATGTTCTAAACATTTTACTCGTGGGGGAAGGGACGAAAAATAGTATAGCTCTTTCCGCAAAGTGAAAAGGACAAACAATGAAGGGGCACTAAAGTGGTTTCTGAGATTGTTTACCTAGGGTGATTACTTAATCTACAGCTCCTAAGCATGTTAAAAATATAAACATTAGACTGGTACGCGTCCTATTTCCCCATTAAAACGGGATCAAAGATCGTGGCACACCCGTTTTTCTGCGATTCAGAGCCAAAACAAGAGGGCACCGTCGGACGTGCAACAGCCAATCGCGAGCGATCGAGCGATCGCTTCCCGCACGGCAGGGGGCCCAAACAACAGTGCACTGATTTGCTAATGTCTGCGATTCGCGCGCCGGAAGCGATCATTCGAGATTGACTGTCGCACATCCGATGGCGCCCTCTGGTTTTGAATCGAATCGCAGAAAACCGGACACGTCGCGATCTTTGATCTCGTTTTGATAGAGAAATCTGATGGTAATCAATGCAATCTTGCTTCTTTTAGAATTCTTAGAGCCTGGATATTAAGCTATGACCACAAATAAGTAACATCAGAAACCCCTTTACTGCCCCCAATGCTTCAACATTTTAAAAACAAACTCGATTTTTTATTTTTTTATTTTTTAAGCAGATTTATAAGTATAAAAGAGCTAACGCTTTTAGTAACCCGGAGTACTACTCCTTCGGGCTGTTTGGCATTTGCCAGAAATATACTGAAATATATCGCACCCGTCGACATGCAAAAGTAATCGCCTTTTCTGTAACAATGGCTGTATTTATCAACTTGCGCCTTACTTGCTCTAATCTTAAAGAACTCAAACATAGATTAACAGGTGATACGCGGTTCGAGAAGATATGGACGCGGGCACTTTCACGTGAACTGGACAACTAGCACAATAACCATATGTCGGTCGCGTTTCCTGTGCGTTTTCTTTCCATCTGTCCATATCGGTTTAAGGTGAGCCAAGTGTCCGAGTTGGGCGAACAGAACAGGCTGGTGCAAACCCAGACTCACTTAAAGCCATCCGTCGCTTCCTCCAGCTTGTCCATGAAGGCTATGAGGTAGTCAACGAAGGCAACTGGATCCAGAGGAGTCTTGGGATTGCTCTTCAGCGCTATAGCGATCGCCATGCATTGCATAATGGCCGCGTTGTATCCGGTCTTGTTGCTGTGGGTGAGCTTCGCTTGGCTCCTTGCAACCTAGAAAGGAACAAAGCCATCCACGTTAAACTGCTCTATTTTTCTGTACGAAGTTTCGACTCAAGTACTCGCAAACTGATGTACTGAGAGTTTTCCAAGTCCTACTGCGTATTAGTGTAAAGCGGTAAAAAGGTTTGCAGCTCAGCTAAATGTCGATTGCGCTTCCAGGAGGCTTCTGAAGTTTTTCTGACCTGCTTCTATTGACTTCGTTCTGCTTTTGAATTAAATATGGTGATTCATAATTAGAGGTATCACGGTTTATCGGTGTGATGATTAAATCAAATTACCACGAACGTTTCTTTATGACTGTCCCTAACAATTTTCGTGCATCACTCTTAAGTTCAATAGAAGTTTACGCTACATTCAATGATTCGTTCAGCCGCATAAGAAAAAATGACAGCAGATCACACAGAAAGCTTAATGCGACTATAGAGGACTCCAAGCAAACAATCAAATAATAAAAAAAGAAAATTACAAAACCTTGTGCGTGCCAATGTCTCTAAAGGCTATGATCAAATGGTTACAATGCGCAGGACGCCATTAAAAACAAAAACAAAAACATTTAAGCGACGCTAGTTCATCAACAGGATGAATAAAGAAATCATACGCAGAGACACAATTATAAATGTGAAATTAGCGGTGGTCAAATCCGTTTCCGCCAAATCCTTCTCTTTTTTTTTTCTTTTTTTTTTCTCTTGTGAGGGGGACTAAAGGGATTGCATGCGACTTAAGCTTGATTATAGAAAACGACACCCCATTCGCACCAGCAACAAGGAAGACCCTGCTGAGTACACGATAGACTAAGTTAGATTTGGGCTTCACCACTGAGCAGTCAAAACTCAACGAGGTCCCCAACCTTATACATTTTGTCAATTTACCCTAACATCTAGAAGAATGCTGGGAACTTAGGTACACGCGCTGCATGCGCTCGCCTTATCTGTATGAAAAATTCGAAGTCACTAAAAAAAATAAGGAGTCGATAAACGCGTGAGCAAAGTGAACGTTTTGAGTTTTTGGTTTAGAACAGTTAAGGTCCATACGCACATTCGCGTTTGAACGCGTTTGAGTGCGTTGCGGAGTCCTTGCGGCCAGGCGCGGTCGCTTGCAGAGCGACGCGCGCCTTCCCGCAACGCTCGGTAGCGCGACGCAAGCGAGTAGAGACTCGCTCAACTTTCCGAAGCGTTGCGGTGCGTTCGGGTGCGTTCGACCAATCAGGAGCCGAAAGAGGAAAGGTGGTGACGTGTTCGCTCGCCCCACCCGGCTGACTCGGCGAGACGTATCCGGTTCGCCGGTCGCAGTGCTTGCTTTGTCGTTTTTGGGGAGCGGTGGGGACTGTATTTTTCAAGGCTGCGATGGTTCAAGCTTGACAAAACGTCGAGGAAGCCGGCGAGATTGTCCCAAGATCGAACACTTCGACGCTGTCGCTGTGCGCCGCCATGTTGCCTTGGATTTCGCTTACTATTGGTGAGCCACTAGCGACGATAGCGCGTTCTTATTGGCTCTTGACTGCGGTTGACTGCGTGTCAACACAACTGTGCGTACAAGTTTGGCGCAAGCGGTCTTCGCAACGCAACGCGTCCGCTTGCCGCTGCGGAACGCACCGCGCTCAAACGCGAATGTGCGTATGGGCCTTTACTGCTGAAGACGCGCGCAGCGCGTCTAACTACACTCGCGCATGCTCTTTCGGGCTTGAGTAATTTAGCAAAAGGACTATTAGCGCCAAGATGTTTAAGTGGCACCCTCTTTATGGCATCTATCCGTGATGTCACAATCAGGATTTGCCTCCCCGTGACGTCACCAGCAGCTGTAATCTTGGCTACTTATCATCGGTTGCAACAACAAGTTTGATAGCCCCGTCGAAGTTGACATCGTTCGTTCCAAGCCGACCACAGCGACGCTTTTGGTCATGCACGTCGCTAAAGGCAGACCCTTTTGCTGTTTCCAAACATGAACTACCGCTTGCGTCCGAAGGGACTTCCGGTCGCCCCGCCTTTGCGAGCCTGTCGAGCTTGCCTATGTCACGAGTGCTAGAAAGCATAAATGCTACACGGACAACAAAGTTGGAGATATAATGAGGGCCTTCGACTGTACAATGCAACGTCTCGGAGGAGGCAAGTTGGTTTACAAGAATATTCGAAAAACCTTTAACAGATCTCGCGCTTCTTCGTTCTTTTGGGATTCGCCTGGAGAATTGGTGGTTACACGTTTCAGCGACATTTCAAGCAGGGGTGTTAAGGTGGGATTTGTTCATTCTTTAGGAACCAGAAGTTCTCTGGGTGGAACACCGCCTGGTGGCATTTGTTATGAAAATGGTCTATAGTTCAGAAATTTGTGTCGGTTGCGTTCGCAGCAACCGAAACGACAGCAGCGAACAAAGTCACCGGGACAAGTGTTCGCCGTACACAGCGTGGCAAGCGATGTAAGAGGCCTCGTACGAAGCAATCGTACAGTGTTCGGGTCGTTTCCGTCGTTTTGAACGCAACGGTGGCAAACGTGTGAAGAAGCCTTAATAGAGACTTTTCGAAGATCATAAACTGCGGATTTCGCCCCAAACGTCGTCACTGGTGGATCCAAGTAGCAGCGCCTACCTAGCGTCACCGCCAGCGCGTCTCGCAGGATCTCACAACGAGCGCGACGCCGCGCGGCGACGCCAGGTTGAACACGTCTGCCGCCGCGATTCGGGGATTCACTAGCGATGACATCATACGCAGGCCTTGTCTTCGAGGTTGTATAGTGCTTTGAACCCCACCGACCCCTCGGTCTGGGACGCTCGAGACGCGTGCTAACGTCAGTGTGCCAAAGGGCCAGCTGCAGGTCCCACCTCGACCATCTTCTCCAGGTCATTCTGGTAGAAAAGGGCGACGGGAGCGACACGCATGGAGGCGCCGTTGCCGTACGAGCCACGGCCTCCAAACTGCTCCGTCGCCGGCTTGTACGGGTCCGCGTAGTTGCTGTTCTTCAACTTGCGAAACACGTCTCTCACGGCATTCCCGTACTCTTGCACGAGCAGCTCGTTCTGGAAATACTCGACCGTGAACCTGCGCAGGAGACACGTGGGCCTGCCTTTCACTTCTCTTCTCTACAACAAATTTCGACATACAGTATTTGTTCCAGACTCCAACAAAAACTACGAGAACGGGCCTTTTTTTTATTTTGACCATTTAGAAGTCACCATTCGTCGAAAATACCTCTTGCTGAATTACCCAAGCGCCAAGCAGCTTGAGCGAGTGTATAATTACACACGCTGCGCGTGCTGGTGTCTGCAGCAGCGACTGATCTGAAGCACCCCCCCCCCCCCCCCAAAAAAAAAAAAGGCACTTTGCACGAACGTTTGTCAACGCCTTATTTTTGTTTATTTACTTCGAACTTTTTATACAGAAGCGAGCGTGTGCAGCGGCGTGTACCTGCGTTTCCAGCGGGAACAGGACGGAACAGCACTCGACAAAATATCACAGCGACAAAACAGCACGCGTCAAAACAACACGGCGTCAAAACAGCACGCGCCAAAACAGCACGGTGTCAAAACAGCAGAGCAACAGAAGAGCACGTAGCAAAAGAGCACGCGACAAAACAGCACGCACCTAAGTGCACGCTGCTTTTTCGCTTTGGGGTAGCAGCACACTCCTGAATTAAGTACTTGCTGCCGACGTTTTAAGCAGAATATTTGTATTGGCGCTACATGTTATCTACCGTTATATGACCTTGTATTAATACCTGCGCCATTATATATCATTAATTACTTATAGCTTTCGGTGCATGTTCGTAATATAAAACGTTCCCACCGCAAGTCGACAAGGCTAAATTTCTTGCCGTCTTTTTAATAATTGATTGATTGTTAACGTTTTATATCGATACAAATACTGCATCCTATTTACACAAAGGAAGAATATAAAGATCACAATTGACGAGTTTAGTGGAACTGCTAAATAAATAGTTTATTTGACACACACCTTTGTTTTACATATAGCTAACATGTAGTGAAAAGTGACAGCCCAAAAAAGTCTGACATACTGGGACAGAACGTTCTGTAGTATTAGCGAGATTATCGCATATTGCTTTGAACCCGAACAGGAGCATCCTCTTTGGCCATCGATCATCTCCTGCTGGGTGAGGCTCTGCTCGGTCTTTAACGTGCACATGGCCGTTACAACAACGGCGTAGAAGCATGGCACCGGAATATTCAGTCTTCGCTCGGGTTTCAACATTCTGACCCGTACCGACTCATCGAGGCCTTGAAGACACCAAAGCATCGTCCAGCAGAAGATGATCCACGGCCGAAGAGGATGCACCCCATCGGGTTCAAAGCCATACGCGAGAATCTCGCAAAGACTACAGAACGTCCTGTCCCAGTATGACGCACCGCCCCTCATTGACACTATTTTGAGCTGTCGCTCCTCTTACTGCATGTGAGCTACGCGCTGATATGAGTGCATGTCAAATAAACCATTTCTTTAACAGATCCACTAAACTCGTCAAGTAACAAGGTGCCGGCATTTGTATCCATATAAAACATTAACGGATTAGCAATGAATCAGTCATTAGAAAGACGCCAAGAGGTTTAGTTTCATTGTTTTGCGGTGGGAACGTTTTATATTACTAAGGATGCAGGAAAAGCTATAAGTAGGTAATAAAATATAACGGCGCAGGGAATATAAAGTCATACAACAGTAGATAATAAAATGCAACAGCAATACACATGTTCTGCTGTACAGGTTTGCAGCAACTACGTAATTTATGCCCGAGCTGCTAATAATGTGTCCTGCAGCAAAAATAAGCATGCATTTACGGACTTGTTTTTTTTGCCGTGCAGTTTTGTCGCGCGTTCTTTTTTCTTTTTTTTGCACGTGCTCTTCTGTCGCTTTGCTGTTTTGAAGCCGTGTTTCTTGTCGTGTGCTGTCTTATCATGTACTGTTTTGACGCGTGCTGTTTTGACGCGTGCTGTTTTGACCTTGCTGTTTTGTCGCGTGCGGTTTTGTCGTGTGCTGTTCTGTCGTGGTGCCATTTCCAGCATTCTCTTTGATGCTTGGGTGATTTAGCAGAAGGTCTATCGCGAGCGCTCGATCGATCGAGTAAATTGCTACCGTAATCACTCATGGTTGCTCATTTCCCGATCTGCGATTTCTGAGATCCACCTCTTTTGAAATCGTGGTTCCAGAGGTTCTGGTATAAAAAAGCCGTTGACAAATCCCTGTAACGCCGAATTGGAGCGCAGCTCTTGAGGAGGAGGAGTGAAGGGTACTGAGGGGAGGGTAGACCCCTCCTCCTCCCCTCATTCTTTAATATGCTCCGGGGGGCGGTCACGTGACCTCGGGGGGGGGGGGGGTGTCACGTGACTTCGGGGAGGGGGGTCACTTGACCTCGGGGGGTCACGTGACCTCAGAGGGGTCACGTGGGGGTCACCTTGGGGTCACGTGACCTTGAGATGACCTTGGGAGGGGTCACGTGACCTTGGGGGTCACGTGACCTTGGGGAGGAGACCACGTGACCTCGGGGGTCACGTGACCTCAGAGGGGTCACAAACTTTTGTCCAGAGCGATAAACGAAACTTGAACTACTTTAAATCTATCCAAGTCAAAAGCAGTCCAACTGTACGCAAGGTAGTAGCAGCACAAAACTACCAAACCGCAACCTGTTTTTCGATTTAAAACGCTTTCCATTTCTCTTTTTGGGCAAGTGCTGGTGTGACCGGGAGGGAGGCGGAGGAGTAGGGACCGGGAGGGAGGCGGAGGAGTAGGGGCCGGGGGGGGGGGGGGGTAGGGAAGGGAGCCGCGAGCCGCACTTTAACACGGGAAGAGCCGCATCTTGGCCACCCCTGGTCTAGAGTCTAGATAGACCAGCGAAGGTTGAAGCGGAAGAAAGGCGAGACGGAAAAGGGTCGTACCGTTTGGCCACATCCAGAGGGTCAAACTTCCCCTTGGCAAGGAGAGACCTCGCGAGGCAGAACGTCATAGCGCTGTCGTCCGTGTAATGGTACTCGCCATGCCCTGGATGAACTGCGGTCGAAATTAAACACAAATTAAGAATAAACATTCGTGTCCGTCACTCTCAGAACGAGCACTCATACAAACTGAAACCAAATGATCGCTCATCGACGTCTCCGCTGACAGAGCTAACGTTGATAGGCGGTCATGAAATAACGACCACTGGTACTAAACACTCTATCGTTTCAACTTATCGCCGTTACACGATTATTATACTTCGTTTCAGCTTCAGACGCGCAGCAGACGCTACGAGCTGATGGGAGCAATCAGAGAGCGTAAAAAGCGCACCCCCGTGGAGTCGGATGTGTTTCTTTACGTGTTCTATCATCGCTGAGCCAATCATAAACAAAATAAGACCCAGTGACTAGCACTTTCCACGCGGCTTGATTGGAACCATTACCTCTAACGTCGGCTGCGTCTGGACTTCAGCTGAAACGAAGTATAGCCATTGGATGGAACAAGTAAAAAATAAACAAACAAATAAACAAATAAAATTAAAACACAGCGTAAAAAAAGAGAAAAAACACGAAAGAAGAAACACAGGTGGAGAGCCGGTGCGCTTCACCTTTACCCTCTTCCGGATTTCCAGTTTAAGGTTTTCTTCTTTTTTTTTTTCTTTTTTTTGTTTTCGTTAGATGCGTGGGCGCATCTAACGAAATTCATTCGAGTAAGGACGCTAGATCCCGCTAGCTCAGCTGAGCTCGGCGCAGCGTTACCGTTGCCAAAGGTACAGGGGCGATAGCGTAACCCCAGCAATTCAAGAGGAGATGGAAGAGGAGCTCTCCCGTTACCCAGACCCTCTTTCCTCTCTTGTGTATCCCAGACGTCACTTATTTCTGTCGCCCGCCACGAATAACCCGTCACTCAAAACTCGTACAAAAGCGGGCCCCTCTCCGCCGCCTTTGGCTCTCAAGAACCGCAGTAAAACAAAGTCCGACTCCTTGCGGAACATTACGAATTTCCCCTTATATGTAGGGAATCGGGATATCTGTAGGGTGCATTTTTGATTAAACATACGATGTCAAGAGGTATAAGACGCCTAAAGCATCACTTCTTCCTTTGACAACCAAATCTTGTAAGAACTGCTTCGCGCGGTGTATGAACAATGCGCAAAACTTTCTTTCTTTCTTGGTGTACAAACGATTATAGTGACGCGAGACATCGCTTTTGTGCCCATTGTGGATTATCTATCGCCTCAAAGTTAGTACAAAGGAACCTCTCCCTTTTCCTTCCTTTCGGCGTCTTTTCTTCCCAGGAGTTTCCCACCAAGATAATTCTCCGACAGGAGGCGCCACTCTGCTCAAAAAGCAATACGCGGCATCATTCAGTTATGCCCGCTTAAGTGCTCGCACATTTACAAAACACTATTAGAAACATTTCCCGAGAGAGCGCTTCTCGATCTTCAGAGGAGTTTTCGGAGGTGCTGCGCAACCAGCCGTCAGTGGCGAATCCAAGGGGGGGGGCAACGGGGGCGGCTACCCCTCCCCCCCCCCCCCAAACAAAGTCGACCCCCCTCCCTCCCCCTTTTCATACGGAAAGAATAAAAACACAGAAAATATACGAGGGACAGACACACACAGTTCTTTCAACGAGCAACTACATTTAAATGATGCCCATTACACTATAATGAATCGCTTTGGTCACAGAGAAAATTAAGTGAAGACGAAAATACAAGAAGATACTAGAAAAAGAAAAAAGTAAAGATAGCTGAATTTAACTTCCTGAAAAGAAAGAAGAAGAAGAAAGTGGATGAGATGTTTTCTATGACAATTCCGGCGCTAGGAAATCTATCTCTGATGTCGCTAACGACATCGAGGGCTCGGAAACATTGTCTGTGGCAGTTTTGATCTTAAATGCTTCGATTATCTCTCGCCCATACTTGTCCTCGTGTGAGCTTAGCACGGTAGTGTTTTCATAGCTAGGATGCACCATCAAACACTTCAACAAATACGTCAAATGCCCAAGAGAAGCCAATTTATTCTGTTCCGCTCAGTTGTGGCAGACAATACATTGGCCAGATGGGGCGATGCCTGAACGTTTGCCTTAGAGAACACTTTCTCGAAGTCAACAAGGCGTCATCCGACTCCTACCATACGATTGTTGTCCATGCCCGCACCTGCCAGATTGCTCTCCTAGCTATGAAAACACTACCGTGCTAGGCTCACACAAGGACAAGTATGGGCGAGAGATAATCGAAGCATTTAAGATCAAAACTGCCACAGACAATGTTTCTGAGCCCTCGATGACGTTATCGACATCAGAGATGGATTTCCTAGCGCCGGAGTTGTCATTGAAAACATCTCCTCTAGTGTCTTCTTCTCCTTCCTTTTCAGAAAGTTAAATTCGGCTATCGTTACTTTTTTTCTTTTTCTAGTATCTTCTTGTATTTTCGTCTTCACTTAATTTTCTCTGTGACCAAAGCAGTCCATCATAGTGTAATGGGCATCATTTAAATGCAGTTGCTCGTTGAAAGAACTGTGCGTATCTGTCCCTCGTATATTTTCTGTGTTTTTATTCTTTCCGTGTGAACTGTACTCTATCCAACGCGCTCTGCTACGTGTCCCTCCCCCCTTCTCGGAGGGCAATTTGACATGGGTGGACCCCCCTTGCACAAGAAAGAATGGGAGAATAGTATCCTAAAAAATTTTCCGCCCCTCCCCCCCCCCCCCCCCCCCCAAACAAAAAAAAAACAAAAACAAACTGAGTTCTGGATCCGCCCGTGCCAGCCGTTTACCTTTGGACGGATGAAAGTTCCGGCCCGGCTGGGCACCGGCCACAACGGCGTGTTTCAGCAGATTCTGAAAGAAGGTCTTCTGGTCCGGGACGTTGGAGCCCGCGAGGTCCGTTTCGAACGGCGCACCGAGGCAGTCGCCGAGCAGCCCGCCGACCAGGCACCCTTGAAACTTTTCCTCCAATGTCGGATCCGTAGCCATTCTGCAGCACTGCAAGGTGGACAAGACAAACTACATCTATGGTCGGTGATAGCTTAAAGGGCTACTCCACCGATTTTTTCATTGTCTCCGATTTGCTTGAAATTTTGCTAAACTAACCAACAAACATCGCGAAAATAGTATCCCAAATATTAGGTCAAAATATTGTTTTTTCGCGAAGTTATTGAATTTACAGTTTTGGTCCTCACTGTGTTTTTCAAGCTCGAAGTCTCTACTGGCAACAATGAAAAAGTGACGTCAGTGGAAGGCAGGGGTTCACTCTTTGGGCTGTAGATTTCGTTTTAAACTGATTCGAAGCAGTTTCATGGTGTCAAATGAATGCTTGGGAAGCTCGCTGCAGTACCCGCGCTCCAGCACGGAACGAATGATTGGCATATTCTATTTTTTGGCTGCTTGCTCGACTGGCAAGCCTGCCTGCCACTGACGTCACGGCCCTGAAAAGCGCGCGTATATTTGAATGTTTGTTTTTGCATCATTTTTATTTGCCGATTTCGCAATAACTATTATGAATTTCGCGATTCTAAATAGCATACCGGAGAGAGTAAAGGCCGGGGAGTCAGAAAATATAGTTAGTTGAGGTAGCTAAAAAAATCGGTGGCGTACCCCTTTAAGATTTCAGGGAAAGCTCCTCGCAACTCCACCAGCGTTCACTCTGGTGAAGTAGAAAAAGGTGGGAGGAGCTTCGCCTGATATCTGAACCCTCTTCTTTTGGTTCACTGTCACTACAACGGATAATCGCAATTACGGCTATGTGGGTAATACGACGGATACTTGCATCGCGACTAAGCGCGGAATACGACAATAATCGCATTATGATGGACTGACTCAGCACAACACAGGGTGACGGACAGTCGCGTTGTGACTAAGCGTGCCCCTCGGCGAGCCATCACGGCACGGCGGGTGGCCGTGGGACGACTAAACGTGCATTACGACTAACCGGTCCTCCACCAGCCTACAGGTGACACGATCCGGAGCGTTCAGTGCGTTCTGCCACGAACGCGCTAAACGTCCTGGCTCAAGGAGCGAAGAAAAGGCACATATTTGGCATCCTGCTTTCTGTTCCCGTCTCATCCAGCAGTGGGAGATTCGCCGCAATACAAAGTGCAGCTGACCGGGCGCGAAAAGGTCACGTGACGCATTTGAGAACTCGCGCGCTACCAAATTTTCGCGTCGGGCAGAAACTCACTTGTGTCAAGGGAGACATGTTTTTGTGCGGTGGCGCCAATCTTCTGGAATGAGACAATCGCGTGCTGCTCATTTCTGCCTTTCCCTGCGTTTGATCTCGTACCTACCACGAGGACCCATCGCGGCACTACGCCGCTAGGATCGCTTCGATTTTGCAAGGTCTATTTTATCGAGGGGCTTTATATTCGCCCGCACCTGCTCGCATGAAGGAAACAGAGAAGAACCGTTTTGGAAGGCCACTCTTGGAGCTTGTCAAGTGATAGATCCAAGAACGTTAGATAAGGCGATGAAGGCTCGTTCACACAGTTGCGTTTGACTGCGTTAAGACTGCTTGCGTCGAGCTGTTACTATGGCGACCCTTAAGACGAGCCAATGGGGAAGCGCCGTGCTGCACGAAGCAGCGAAGTCGACGCAACTGCGTGAACGAGCCTTGATGAGCATCGGGACAATCCCTGAAAGTGAACCAACCGAACGTAACGCAACGAACAAATATATGGCTCGAGATACGCGAAAACAAGGAAAATATGCGTAGACTTTGACATTATAACTCAAAATTACGCAGCTGCGCGAACTTGCAGCGTTAAGTGCCACGTTACTGCGACAGCCAGCAGAACATGTGAGTGACTGTATGAACCCACGTGATGAGCACGGTCTAAGCCTCGGTAAAAGGACAGAAGCGAAGGGAAACCTTCACCCAAACAATAAAAACGTACGAAAGCGGATTAGAGTACGGCACATGCCGTGAAACTAGGAATGAGAAAACACGTGATCTGCAGTTTGTTGTTTGGATAGCCCTTTAGTCGTAGGAAGCTGTCAGTCCTGTTGCGACGCTCCGTCGTAATCCACTTCTAGTCGTAGGGGGCTGTCAGTTGTGTTGCGGCACTCCGGCAAAATCTGCGCTTAGTCGTAAGGGGGCTGCCAGTCCTGTTGAGATGCTCCGGCGTGATCCGCGTTTAGTCGTGCCGCGACTGTTAGTCGTGGTGGGATGTTGCCCTTTTGGTTAGGTAACGCAGCGCAACCCCATCAACTTCTCAAGTTGGCAGCATAGAGGCAAGCGAAGTACCGGAACGGTGGTCTGACGGCGCACGTGACAGAAGGAGCCCCAAGGGCGCGTAGGAGTTTGCTTATCTTATCCAGGTCGTCGGCGCGCAGATAAGCAAAGCTTGGACTACCCCACCTGGACAAACAGACGTGACTTTTCGCGGAAGGGCGGCATGGCGCGCTCTTTGGTCACGGGCGTGCGTCATGCTCTGACGAATACTTTTACAGTCCATGAACAACCACTGTGGATCCAGCAATGCTTTATGGCTCTCGGGAAAGGCATTCTTCCACATAAAACCCAATAGACCTTTCCGGAAATACATGGCGCCCTTATCGTCCGCTTGACACACTGCGACGTTTCGATGTACGGCACGCGAAATTTTCGAGTAATCGAAAACGAAGTTCACGTTGGTTTAACATCTTGTGATTTCAGAACGCAGAGAGTGCTGAATGAATGCAAAGCAGAGTATGTGATGGCCTATTTTTCTGTTCGCTTTATTTTTCGAGTGTTCTGAACTCCTGATGATAAGAGAAAATAAATCGTGCCGCACGTATAGATGTGCAAAGCGTTCGAGTCGGCCCGAGCGTACATCGAAACAGCCCCACAATTCCCCTCGCCGCGACGTCTCCTGGTATTTCCCGAAAAGGTCATTTTCCGCGATGTGGATTGCCAAAAATATAATAATAATAAGGAAAATATTTCTTATCATTATTTACTTTCGTTTCGTTCTGCTTCAATCCAGCGCGTGCGTGTTCCCGGTGCGATCTACGCCTACAACTGGAACCATTGCGAACACGTTGCAAATCCGAGCGCAAAAGAAGCGCCTATCGCAGTCAGCGGCATGCGTGACACCCCGCGACAACGAAAAATGAAAGTCGGGCTCTTTCCAGCGCCGTGAAAAGGTACACCTTGAACGACCGCTTGCTTCCATTTCCGGCATCCGCGCCCAAGCGCGGCTCACACTATTGCTTCAAATTGCACGATGTTGTGTCGCTGACGTGGAGTACGCGACCGCGAGCTCATAAAAACAGTTGACGCGGCGTCATGGAAACCGCCCCGGTCACAGACAGGATCTCGACAAAAATAGCTCATCTGGCGGTATGTTTTCGCTAGCGCTAACACTTCAGGCGCCCGCTTATCCCAGGGAAGCGCTTCAAGTCTTGTATACCGTGTACCCTATCGAGGTCGAGTAGGTGGACGTTGGAATGTTGTCGTTATCCAAACTACGAACTTGACAAACTAGTTCTAGTAAGGCCGCAATCGGCGGTTGTCACGCAGAGAAATGCTCCAGCATACGACGGAAATATTCAACGCCATGGATTCTTTCCTCGATTGATAAGCGAACGTACGGGCGGATACTGAACGTAATCAATTCAGCGATGCTGTCAAAGGAACTTTTTGTTTCTTGCTTTCTCCAGCTTACGACAATGTGACCCTGGGTAGAGCTGACATGCCGAGCTCAACGCCAATTTCATGTATACGTAACTGTAGATGCGAGTGACCTCATAGGTTCGAAAGCAAGCAACAGCTTCATATCACGCTATCCACAATCCAGCAGGCCGACTAAATCAAGGGTTCGAAATGGTGTCCAGTGAGGACCTGCGCTAATGCATGAGGTCCAACAAAATCACGCGTTTCACTTTTCCAACACTTAAAATTGTGCACGCCGACCGCTTGGAGAAGGGTCGAACGACGTTTTAGCGAACGCCGACGTTTCATCGAATGGCACTTCAGCGAATAGTCGGAGGCCGCGAAGCGGCGTTTACGCGTGGGTCAGGTGGTTAACATTTTTCTAATGAACCACAAGCGGCGTGAACGCAGGCACCCCCCTCGGGGTACGTTTAAGTTATTTGCTAAAATGTTGATTCGCTCAAATGACCGCTGTTTGCTAACACGTCATTCGTGATATAGACCCGACGAGCCGGAAAATTCGGCGCCTGCACATAGAAAGTTCACACTTTCACCAAATATGCATTGCGCAGGAGAGTCTCCGTGTGAAACCTTAGGTCGTAGTTAATTCTCTTCCTGCAAAAAATTAGAGTAAACAACTTTCAGAAGTCCACGTTAGGACCGTTCACAGTCGTACGACCGAGATACCTTAACTTTTAACTTGTGGTGCAATCTCCCGATAGGCGCAGCGAGCAGACGAAGATACTGTTGTCTGCTCGCTACGCCTATCGGGAGGAGGCGCCAAAAGTTAATGGCGTCGGGAACTCAGTCGTCTGCGAATGCGCCTAAAATCAGGGTCACTGCTTATACATCATACAAAAGACCGTCTGTATACAGATTCGAACTCTAGTCACAGCGAGATCCGTGCTTCGAGTGCAGCATGGCAATAAGTTTAAAGGCCGATGTGCGACCTCGGTTTTCTACAGGGAAGATAATCTTCTTAGCGCTCCCTTCTCCTAAGCTGCTAAAGGAGCCAAGTTAGGGCAAAGTAAAAAGTGGAGAGGATATAGGAAAGAAAGAGGCGGGTAAAAGTGGATTGCACGAAGTGTACGTCGGCCTTTAAGGAGGAAACTTGGCACGCAGCATTCGAACAACGGATATTGTGGTGATTCGTGTTTTCAGACTCCCTTTTGTAGGAGCAGTGTGACCCTGGCCTAACGTGGACCTTGGGCAGTTTTTTGCTCTTTTACAGGAAGAGAACTGCGCCTTCAAATTTCCCCCGGTAAAACTGACCTGCTCGTGGACATTCGGCGAAAGTTTGAGCTTTCTATATGCAGGCGCCGATTTATCCAGCTCGTTTTACAGCAAAAGGTCC